CTTGACTGGATGAGGCTGGGAAGGGGTGTCTATGCCCAGATTTGCCCCTTCAACCTTGGCCTGAGATGGGGCACAGGAACAGCTGGGCCTCAAGGTCTATTTTTTTTAAGCACAAAGGAATGTGCGGGTGGGGCCGATGGTGGCTCCACCCATCCAGGTGACTTCCTCCCTCCCTCACCCCCAGGTAGAGGGTTTCCTGCTCTCGTCCTGTAGTTCCTAGATGGCTCCTGAGGGTGAGGCTGGGTGAGGAGAAAGAAGCCTGACCTTAACTCAGAGGAACCTAAAGAATTTCCTCCGCCCTCGCCGCCCCGCCCTTCCCAGCTGGGGACCCAGTCAGGTGCTAGGTGTGAAGACAGGCGGGTACCACTGGATTCGGGGCAGGCCCAGAGGCGGCTGCTGTGCGCCTTCAGAGAGTCCATGCCCCTGGCCTCCCTGGGCCTCCGTTTTTTCTCTCTAAAATAGGGTAAACCTCCCGAAGATGGGGGTGACCCGAAAAAGACCAGCCCTATGCTCCTGAGGTCTCTGACCCTTGACTAGCTCCTAATCCAAGAGATCTCCCTACTGAATTTCAACATGTAGAGTTTTTCTCGGATGTTAAACTTTCCGAAGCGCAGGCTCCGTTCCGAACGCGGCCGTAATCCCTTCCCGGTCTTCCTTGCAGCCTTGCCTGGCTGGTCTCCAGCCCCGCCGCTGGCTAGTGCTCAGCTGGGCGGAAAACCCGGCCTGGAATTCCCACCCCTGGGCCTGGATCCTGTGCTGGGAGGGGAAGGGGGACGAAGGCTGCCTCGGCGGCGTCCCGAAGGCGTGTCGGGGCGGGGGCGGAGCCGGTAGGGGCCACGGAGGAGGAAGAGGTGCAGGTGCAGCCCCAGCGGCGGAGCGGGCTGGAGGAGGGCGAGAGCCGGGGACCTGCTTCGCCGCGACCCTCCCCAGCCTCCTCCCTCACGCCAGGGTGGGGGCCAATTGTTTCTAGACCCCCCTGGGGCAGAGGCACTGGACGGCCCCCGGGTGGACTATGGCGGTGAGATTCCAGGCGAGTAGCCCGCCGAGGGCGGGAGGGAGAGGGGACCGAGCTGGGGTCAGGGCTGGGACCTGGATCCAGGACCCCAGATCACCCTCTGCCTAGGTAACAGATGGGGAAACTGAGGCCCAGAGGAATGTGGTGGCTAGCCCGAGGCTGCACGGGCAGAGGCGTCCGCGCCCACTGGCCTCCAAAGCGGCCTCCGGGAGCTTCCTCTGTCCTGAGTCTGCCTTCGCAGGTAGACCTGAGTTCAAATCCCATTTTTTTCTCCGTAACTTTGGGCCGCTGAATCCATGCGTCTCCGAACCTCATCTATAAAGTGGACGGTGGTCACTTTATAGAAGGGTGTAGGAAGGATTCCAGGACAAAAGTGTGTTGCAAAGCGCCTGGCACGTAGTAGGTGCCCGGTTTCCCGGGAGATCAGCGGAGTTAAGCTTGAGCACTAAGGGCGGAACCGTGGGCAGGGACTTCATACGTGGGCGGGAGCGGCTTTGGCGAATGCGGCTAGGCTGCGGACGAGGGGATCCCCATTTATTGGGTGCCTACTGTATACAGAGCCGTTCACTTGGGCGACCTGGTAGACATGGGCGTCGAGAGCCCCGTTTTGCACCGAGCAAGCCGACCGGGGCTGCGAGAGGGAATCCCTGTGGCTCTGTCTGGGGGGACTTCGCTCTCCAGGGCTGAAACTTGAATCGACTTTGTCACACCCACCCCGCTGGGTCTCAGGTCGGGCCCCAGAGGGGTAAACAGGCCTAGGCTGTTTACCTCGCCCCAGGCCGGACCGCCCGAGGCTCTAGGGCCGGGCAGTTCTGGTTCCCGCCGCCTCCTTCCCGGCAGCAAGGAACCGCTCCCAGAATCCAGTCCCCAGCTCGAGTATTTGTGACCCCCCCCTTCCCCTCCCCCTCCCCACCCCCGCCGTTGTTCCCAGAGGTTGGAGTGGGGAGGGGGAGAGCGGACAGCAGCCTGGTAGCCAAGTGCCCGGGGCGGTGTGCCTTGGTAAGACCTGTCCCTCTGGAGGCGTCTCCTCTCCGGTGTTTCTGTCCCGCGCGTGGCAGGGGGCGAGGACGAAGGCCCGGGCCCCGCCCCCTCGGAGCGCACCTCGACGGAGGCGGGGCTGAGGAGGCTAGGAGCTCAGGACGTACCTGGTTGAGTTCCTGGAGGAATCAGCCTTTTATTCCACCATTCACGCATTCCTCAAACTCCCGCGTGCCTGGTCTTGTGGGGACAATGCTGGGGTCCCAGGGCCCCCAGCCCTGCCCACTAGGAATCCCTGGACTAGAGGGATGTAGGGGAGACAGGTGGACTGGGACATCCCAGGCCCCAGTAATCAGAGACGTAAAATGTGGGGGGGGGGCGGGGGGCTTTGAGGACTCATTTCCTGGAGGAAGAGACAGTGGCACTGGGGCTGTGAAGGATGAATAAGAGTTTGCCAGGGAGCACAGCATATGCAAAAGCCTGGAAAGGAGCTGATTGGAGGGCCCATCACCAACGTACCCAGAGAGACAGCCCTGCCCAACCTTCACAGACCAAGAGGAAAGACCAGAAACTCACTAACTGATGATTAAACAGGATAATTTAAGATGGTTTTGGATGTCATGAATAAAACCTCATAAATTAAGTAGGGAGGGGTGGTAGGGTGCCAGGGAAGATTGGCTAGTCTAGTAGGGTCCCCTGGGGAGGTTGCGTTTGAGCTGAGACCTGAGTGTCCGGGGCAGCTGTGTGCATCCTGGGAGGGTAACCAGGCACAGGGCACTGCCAGGGAAATGTTTGGAACTAAGTTGAGGTGGGATGTGGCGTTAGGCGTGACCCCATGGGTCATGGAGAGTCCTGCAGTATCCATGGAGGCAAACCTACACAAGCTGGGACAAGCCCCAGCCACCTGTGCCTGCCCCCTTAGGGGCCCTGACTCCCTGTGGGCTGTTTCTTAAAATAAGGCCAAGAAATCAAAATTCTGGGAGGCCGTTTAATGACACTAAGCATAAAATCAAAGCAAGTGAAAAGATTCTGTTCTGAAAAATAAGTTCAGAAAGAAAAAAAAAAGCAGAAGGATACTGTAGCCCGGTGGTTAAGATTAAAGGTATGGGATGGGCTGCCAAGGTTTGCAGCGCGCTGTGTGAGCTCCAGCAAGTTACTGAACCTCTCTGGGCTTCCCTTTCCTTCCCTGTAAGGCAGGAAGGCAGGAATAGGAGAAGTGCCATTTCTGAGGTCACTCAGGAGTAAATGAATGGGTACGTGCAATGCGCTCGCTGGCAGCGCACGGAATAGTGTTGCTTAGTAATATTATGCAGAGGAAGAAGGTCATTATTATTACTTCTCACAACAGCACTGTCATCTCTCCTAGAGGCTCCTTCTGCTATTCGTGCATGACTCCACGCCCGCTTCCCACAACTCAGCGCTGAAAGACGGGGCGGTGGGGGTGAGGGAGGTACCCATTTCACAGATGGGGAAGATGAGGCTGGGAGAGGCACCACCACAGCCAGCAAAGGGCAGACTGCAGGATTTGAGGCTCAGTTGAGAGAGCAGACCTGGCTCCCAGGGGTGTCCGTGAGGCCCTGCCCTTGGCTTTGTTTCCCTCTTCTCTGCCCCCTTCCTACCTCGGGGGAGCCTGGAATGCTGCTCTCCCGGGAACCTCTAAGAAAAGGCACCAGAACACATCACACCAGCGGAGGGCTCACAGGGAGTCCCCCGCCCTTGCAGTGCTGAGCTGGGCAACCAGGCTGGGGAGGGAGCGTCATTTCTACAAGGCCCCCAGGGTAGTGGGACAGCCGCGCAGAAGGTAAGGGATGGGTGGGGGCTGGCTTCCCGGAGGGCTCCACATCCCCCGCTTCTGCCAGCATCTCCCGGCTGAGTGACCTCTACTCCCGGAGCCTGTGATCTCATCTGTACCTTGGGCTTGAAAATAACAGAATTCACGCCCCACAGCCCCACCCTCCAGCCCCACCCTCAACTGCTCTGTTGTCTTGGCAAGTGACTTCCCCTCTCTGTGCCTGGCTTTCCTCTTCTGTGAAGGGGCATAATAGAATGCCCCTTAGTGAGCAGATTAAATGAGATCTTACCTGTGAAGTGCCTGGCGCAAAGGAAGCACTTCATTCATTCATTCATTTCTTAGATAGTTAGAATCTCTCCTATGATCCAGGCACTCAGGATCAACTTTGAATGAAGCAGATAAAAATCTCTGACCTCTGAAGCCAATATTCTAGAGGGAGAAGGGCAGTGACCAGATTTTAAAAACCTAGAGAGTGTCAAGGGATCACAAGTTCTGTGAACGAGGAATCAGGGAAAGGAGGATAAACTGGTCTGTTGTGGGATGGCAAGCATTCCAGTTCCAGACAGGGTGGCTGGGAGAAGGAGGTGAGGGAGCGGGCCAGGTGCAGATCTGGGGGAAGAGAGATCCAGGCAGAGGAGATGGCTCGTGCGAAGGTCCTGGGGCAGGACCGGGCTCGGTGTGTGGGAGGAACATCGAGGAGCCCTGAGTGTCTGGAGCAGAGTGAGACCCTTGTGTCTGCAGGCCTTGCTAGATCCCCACCACCACCACCACAGGGACTGAGCCAGACCTTCCCGAGGGACAGTGACAAGGACTAACATTTCCTCTGCTCCCACCACAGTATGGCACTATTAACATTTGGAGATGGGTCATTGTTTGGGGTGGGGTCTGACTGTGCACTACATGTAGGGGTTTGAGCAGGACCCCTGGCCCCCACCCCCTCGATGCCAGGAGCACCCCCCAATCATAACAACCACAGATGTCCCCAGATACCACCCAGTGCCCTCTGGGAGAGGGGGTAGAATGGTCCTGGATTGAGAACCACTGATTTAAGTCCATTTTGCAGATGAGAAAACTGAGATCTCAGGAGAGGTAGCAACTAACTCACAGACTTGGGCCATGAGAGTGTCAGAGCCAGGCTCCACACCCACCCGGGTATGGGGAGCCCTGATTGCTCTGATAGACCTCATGTCCACCTTCCCTGTCACCTCCCACCAGGTGCTGGACATGGAGGAGCTGACCATCTGGGAACAGCACACAGTCACGATCAGCAAGGTGAGGCCTCCCTCCCTCCGCGTGGGTGCTGATGGGAATGGTGGGTTGGTTCCTGCAGGACAGCCTTTGTCCCAGTGAGAAGCAAAATCACGTTCTGTCTCTCGTCCCCCCTCAGGACCCCCGCCGAGGCTTCGGCATTGCAATATCTGGTGGCCGAGACCGGCCCGGTGGATCAGTGGTTGTGTCCGATGTGGTGCCGGGAGGACCAGCTGAGGGCCGGCTACAGTGAGTGTCAAGGCAGCTGGGTTCCGGCGGGGGTGGGGGTGGGGGGGACACATCAAGAGGAGGGAACTGTGTGGGCCCAAACCAGGAGGCTGGAAAGTGCCTGGCGCCTTCCAGCTCTGTCAGTACAGGGCTTGGGGCTGGCAGAAGGACAGACAGTGACTAGCCCCCACTCTCCTCAAGGCACTGGTCCTCTGATGGATTCTGGGGGTCATAGTGGCCCCAGGATGCTCCCAGAGCAAATATCCTGGAAACCTCTTTTTGGCTGGAGGGAGAGAGACCCAGTGTCCTGAGCTCTTGGGGATAGAAGGCTCCTGGGAGTTATGTTGGGAAAATGGTTCTGGGACCCAAGAGGCTGACGGGTGATATGGCTCAGCTCAGAATCAGCGACCAGCTTCAGAGAGAGAGAGTACGAAATGGACAGGGAGAGAAGGGGAGAAAAGCAGGAAGAGAGGGCCCGAGAGAAAGAAGTGAGGGGGTACAGGGACACCAGGTGTAATTGCAGCTTATGTTCTATGATTGCATTTCACTATGTGGGTTCTGCGATCAGCCCCATTTTACAGATGAAGAAACTGAGGCCCAGAAGGATAAATGTCTTCATGAGTCTGGGGACACCAGTAAATCAGAAGCAGGCTTTGTACACATGGGGGTACCTTCCAGGGGCCCTCAGGGCAGGCCTGGGGAGAGGGGCTTCTGGGTGATGTCTCCTCCCTGAGATCCGGCCTCCTCCCTCAGGACAGGGGACCACATCGTCATGGTGAATGGGGTCTCCATGGAGAGTGTCACCTCCACCTTCGCCATTCAGATACTCAAGACCTGCACAAAAGTGGCCAACATTGTGAGTGGGGGCTCGGTGGGAGAGGCAGCCCCTGGCTGACCCCACTTCTCCTGGTCTTGTTGCCCATGGGCAGTATGAGTATAAGCTTTCCCAAGCAAGTGGAATCTTGTTTCCATTCACAGCTTGGATGTTAAGGCCCAGAGAGACCAGAGTCCCCCAGGGTCCGCCATGGGATGGGGCAAAGCCTTGAGCTGCCCCCTGCCACCCCGACCATTTCTGCCTGCCCTAACAGACAGTGAAGCGTCCCCGGAAAGTCCAGCTGCCCGCCACCAAGGCCACCTCTGGCCTGGGACACCAGGACTCAGATGAGGAAGATGGGCCGCGGCGCCTGGACGAGGCTGACCACGGCCAGGGCTATGAGGGTGACACGTCCAGTGGCTCTGGCCACTCCTGGGGCGAGCGCTCCCGCCGGCCAAGGACAGGTCGCCGGAGCCAGGCCAGCAGCCATGGGCGCAGGAGCCCGAGCGGCGGCTCCGAGGCCAACGGGCTGGCCCTGGTGTCTGGCTTCAAGCGGCTGCCGCGGCAGGACATGCGCATGCGGCCCGTGAAGTCCGTGCTGGTGCGGAGGAGAGACAGCGACGGTGAGCGTGGGGGCCACGTTGTCGGCAGTGGGGCTTGGCATCCCCGGGAACAGGCAGCACTGCTGCCCCAAAATCTGATCACATGTGGTGTGTGGTCAGCAGAATAATGGCCTCCAAAGATACCCACATCCTGGTCCCAGGACCTGCGGATGTGTCACCTCATAGGGCAGAGGGGACTTTGCAGGTGGGGTTAAATTAAGGCCCCTGAGATGGGGATGACCCTGGATTCCCCCGGGGCTCCTAGTGTCATCACAGGGTCCTTATAAGAGGGAGACGGCAGGGTCAGAGGCAGAGAGAGACGGGAGATGCTGCGCTGCTGGCTGTGAGGATGCAGGAGGGGCCGCGAGCCAGGGATGCGGCGCCTCTAGAAGCTGGAAAAGGCAGGAACCGATGCTCCCCTGGAGCCTCGGGAAGGATCAGCCCTGCCCACACCTGGATTTAGCCCCGTGAGGCCCATTTCAGACTATTCGATAAATTCGTGTTCTATTATAGCCATTACGTTTGTGGCGGTTTGGTACAGCAACGGGAAACTCACACATCATGACATCAGTAGACTGTCGAGGGATTAGTAGGTATAGAACAGTAGGGACGTGATCTCTCATTCCTGTCTTGAGTCAATGGCAGTATTGTGACCTTGGAATTCTGGTCATGATGTGACAAATGACACTGGGATATCTACCCCACATTGTAATTTTAAAAATCCTGAAAACGCTCATCGTGATGTCACTGAGTATTGGGGTTGTGACCCCTAAGCCGCTTTGGTGATGTCATCAGGGTGTTGGGAAGGGACAACCTGGGCTCTGCTCCTTCTCAGGTGCCTGCTGCTGACTGCTGCGCAATGATATCAGAATCCCTGCCCCAGGGCCTTTGCATGGGCTGTTCCCACCACCTGAAATGACCTTCCCAAGACTCCTGCAGGGTTTGCTCCCTTGCTTCATCCAAGACCCAGCTCAGACGTCACCCCCTGAGAGAGGCCATCCCGTAACACCTGTCCCCAAACTGCCCCTCCGTGGCCACTCTCCCCACCTCCTGGCTTACGCTCTCTCTCTTTTTTTCTTTTAATACTTTTCATTTTTTAATTATTTATTTATTTATTTAAAAATTTGATTTATTTATTTTTGGCTGTGTTGGGTCTTCATTGCTGCGCGTGGGCTTTCTCTAGTTGAGGCGAGTAGGGGCTACTCTTCAGAGCGGTGCACGGGCTTCTCATTGCAGTGGCGTCTCTTGTTGCAGAGCACAGGCTCTAGTGGGCTTCAGTAGTTGTGGCTCGCGGGCTCTAGAGCGCAGGCTCAGTAGTTGTGGCACACGGGCTTAGTTGCCCCGCAGCATGTGGGATCTTCCCGGACCAGGGTTCGAACTTGTGTCCCCTGCATTGGCAGGTAGATTCTTAACCACTGCACCACCAGGGAAGTCCCCCAGCTTTCTCTCTTCCCAGCGCTCAGCATCACCGGGTGCTTGTGTGTTCCACCTCCCCCAACTACAGGGGACCAGGTCTGCTTTGTCACCCGCCGACAGGCACCTTCAGGGGGAGAGTGCCCGCCGGAAAGGGGCAGCAGGCTGAAGCCTGCCCCCTCCCTGCACGACAGCAGCCTGGAAGATGGGATGGTTGAGGGCAGGCGAGAAGGTTGAGGTCTGAGAGCCCCTGGCAGCCCAGAACCCAGGCCCTGCCTCAGTTTCCCTCCTCTTCCACCCACAGATTTCGGGGTCAAACTGGGCAGTCAGATCTTCATCAAGCACATCACAGAATCGGGCCTGGCTGCCCAGAACAGCAGGCTCCAGGAAGGAGACCTCATCCTACAGGTGAGCCCTTTCTTCCTGTCAGGGGGCAGGGAGACCGGGGCCAGAGGGTAACAGTGTTACCGAGGCATATGGCACAGTCAGCAAAGCTGGTTCTGAACCACTTGCCTCCTGCATTGTGGCCTGTTTCACAAAGGTTGGAGATGGCTACGCAGGACTTTCCCTCCTTCCCCGCATCTGCCGCAAATCCATTGCCAAATGTCGGTTTCTAGCACCCCCTTTGGGTTGTCTGTTTCTAGTATCCCCAGAATCACATGACGTGCTGGCTACAGCACTGATTCATGGGCCTGCCTTAGGTGCCTGGATGCTAATGGTCCAGAGACCAGGCTTTGAGGAGCAGCTCTGCCTTAAGAGCTTGGTTTCCTTCTAGACTCCTCCCCTGAAAATCTGTTTCTAGTGATTCCTAGTGTTTGATATACAAATCATTTCTGGTTGATTGTTTCTAGAGCTTCCTCAGAGTCATCTGTTTCTAGTGACCCTGAAGAATTGTCTGTTTCTAGTAGTTTGGGGCTGACACTTGAAACAGAGCTTGGAGGTGGGGCTGGGGGCTAGAAGGGTTACTGAAAACAGACATTCCCAAGAGAAAATGTTAGCAATGGATTCCTGGTGAGCGGAGATGACACTAAATCTCTCTTAGGAATTGTATGTTTCTAATCAACTTCTAGATGTCTGTTTCCAGACCTCCCAGAGATTGTCTGTTTCTAGTATCTACATATTTACTCCCTCTCCCCCAATTAGAGTTGTTTCTAATATCTGTTCCCAGTGTCTCCTGAGAAATTTCCCCCTCTGGGGAAATGAGAGTCAATCCATTTTTAGTTTTTCCCTAGCGCCCCCCCACCCCTCTTAGAAAATTGTCTGTTTCTAGAATTCTTCTGGAGGTCAGTTATTGGCATAGTCTCCTCTCATAGCAGGAATGCAATTCTGTCATTTTCTGTTGAGAATGTCTGTTTTTAGTAACCCCTGAGGGTTGTGTGTTTCTAGTCCCCCTCACCAAGGTATCTGTTTCTAGTATCCCCTATCTCTCATGAATTTGCTTCCTCCTTCCTGATTCCTTTTAGATCAACGGGGTGTCCAGTGAGAATCTGTCACTGAGTGACACACGGCAACTGATCGAGAAGTCGGAAGGGAAACTGACTCTGCTGGTGCTCAGGGACCGAGGCCAGTTCCTGGTGAATATCCCTCCGGCCGTCAGCGACAGCGACAGCTCCCTTCTGGAGGGTGAGGGGCCAAGAGGCCAGCCCTGGGAGGTTCAAATGGAGAGCCAGGGAGGCAGGCTGTGCCAGGCAGGACCAAGCAGGAGTTGGGAAGCCTGGCCCTGAGAGGCTCAGAGAGGGACAGAAACTTGCCCAAGGCCACACAGCAAGTTAGGGCTGGAGGCCCTCAGCTGAGCCTGACTCTGGTCTGGGCCCCTTTGCTTAGAGGGGCCTGATGTGCCCCTCTGTGAAATGGCAGCCTGGAAGGCGTGCCCGTGGCTGAGACACGCTTTCCCCCGCAGACATCTCAGACCTCGGGTCAGAACTGTCTCAGGCGCCACCATCCCATGTACCACCGCCACCCCAGCATGGGCAGCGGAGTCCGGACGCCAGCCGAGCCAGCTCCCCCATGTATGTAACCTCATCGGCTAGAATGGCCAAGTGGGATGGGAACATGGGCCTATCTTTTCCAACATGGGGTAGCCTTGAAGGTGCAGTCATGGCGGCCTGCCTGGAAGAGGCCTCTCCTTCCACACACAGTCCTTCTTGCCTCCTTATTGTGGCTCAGGGTTCTCAGTCCTGGGAGAACCAGATATGGACGGACTTAAAGCAGAAGGGATAACAGAATTTTACAACAAGCCCTAGAAGACTTCAAAATGCATAAGCCCTGTCACCGAGCAAGGCTTTTAGAGAGTTCTCTTGGGAGTGAAATAGCCACAGCTGTGTGCAGGGATTAGAGGATGCTTATTCGTTATGATGATGTTTATAAAAGGGACAGAGTGGCAGTTACTTTGTTAGTCTCCTGGGGCTGCAGTAACCAAGTGCCACAAACTGGTCGGCTTAGAACCACAGAAATTTATGGTCTCAAAGCCCTGGAGACTGAAGACTCAAGTCACGGTGTCAGGGCCACACTGCCTCTCAAGGCTCTTAGAGGGAAATCTGTTCCAGGCCTTTCTCCTAGCTTCTGGTAGCCTCCGGCATTCCTTGGCTTCCAGGAATCCATTTTTAATTTTTCCCTAGCGCCCCCCCACCCCTCTTAGAAAATTGTCTGTTTCTAGAATTCTTCTGGAGGTCAGTTATTGGCATAGTCTCCTCTCACAGCAGGAATGCAATTCTATCATTTTCTGTTGAGAATGTCTGTTTTTAGTAACCCCTGAGGGTTGTGTGTTTCTAGTCCCTCTCACCAAGGTATCTGTTTCTAGAATCCCCTATCTCCCCGCTGTGTGTCTTCATGTCATCTTCCCCCATGTATGTGTGTCTGTGTCCATATGTCCCCTTTTTATAAGGACACCAGTCAGACTGGATTAGCCACCGCCCCCACCCCAGTATGACCTCAAGTTCACTAATCACATCGTGATGACCCTGTTCCCAAATGAGGTCCCATTCTGAGATCCTGGGAGTTAGGACTACAGCAGGTGAATTTTGAGGGTACACAATTCAACGCCTTAAAAAACATGATTGCACAACACTTGGGGATTAGGTAACAGGCACCTCATTTAAGCCTGCAGTCCCCTGTGAAGTAGGGGGTTGTATCTGTTATCTACAGCCGCATAACAAATGACCCCCAAACCTGGCCGCTTGAGACAATGGTAAACATGTATTACCTCACTGTTGCTGAGAGTCAGGAATTGGGGACGGCTTAGCTGGGTGGTTCTGGTTCATGGTCTCATGAGGTTACAGTCAAGACGTAGTCTAGGGCTGTGGGCTTTTGGGAGTGGATGATCCCCTTCTAAGCTCCCTCACATGGCTGTTAGCGGGAGGACCAGGAGGTGGGGGTCATTGTGGTCCATTTTAGAGGCCAGAGGAGGGCCCACGCCAAGGCCCCAGATCTTACTCCACCACTAATTAGGGCACTAACTAACGGTGACACAAGGAGATGGTGTGTGTGTGCTTGGCCCGTAGTGAATGCTCTTTATTACGATCGTTATAATATAATCCTTGCTTGGGAATATTAGACAGCCATGAAACAGGATGTCTCCGAGAGTATATTGAAAAGGCCTTGGGAAAACGCACTTGGCATTGTGTATGGTGAATGAACCGGATTGCAGAGTGACACAGGGCAGCATCTCAAAGGGTTTGGGGGGACTCTTGTGTGATCTTCCCAGGGATTCCATGGGCACACAGAAGGATCCGTGGACAGACGGCTCCAAGTAGCTTGATGTGTTTCTCCGATGCAGACCCTGTACTCTCTGAACCTGCCCCGTGAGACCTGGGCTGGGGGTACATCATTCTCAAGTGTCTTTCCCCACCCCCAGTCACTCAGCACTGGGGGTTCACAGGCTGTATGTCGGAAATGCTAACATATGGCCTGATCTTGATTTTCTTTCAGAAGTATATATTTCCTCACCGTTTCTTTGAAAGCATCTGAAAGATCTGGAAAGTAACTCTTCTGTGCTAACAGTGGGTTGATTTTTCAGGGAACTTTCTTTCCGTCCTGTGGTTTAACTCTGTGTTAGTCTGCTCAGGCTGTTAACAAAACACCATAGGCAGGAAGCCGGAAGTCCATGGCCAGGGTGCTGGCATGGCCGGTTCCTAGTGAACACTTCTTCCTGGCCCATGGACGGCCTCCTTCCTGCTGTGTGTTCCCACGGTGGAGAGAGTGATCTCTGGTGTCTTTTATAAGGACACTAATCCCGTCATGGGGGCCCCACCCTCATGACCTCATTTAAACCTGGTCACTTCCAAAGGCCCACCTCCTAAGACCATCCCACTGGGGGTTAGGACTTAAGCATATGAATTTGGGGGGACACAGACATTGGGTCAAGAGCACCTTCTATAACTTTTCATTAATATTAAAACAGTAAACATGACTGTTTGTCACAGGCTCACGTCATTTTGAGGCTTTGACTCGACTCAGCCATCCCAGGGCTCGGAGGAGGAAACGGGCTCAGAGAGGGGAAGCAGAGGGCCGGAGGTCACACAGCTGCAGAGGGGCAGGACCAGGATTAGAACCTGAGTGCCAATAAATCAAACTTCTTCTAAAAATTGCTGCTCAACATCCCCCTACCCCCACCTCACCCCAAATCTGTTCCCCACCAGGGAGAGCCCCCAGCTTCGGCAGGAAGGTTCAGTGGATTCTAGGACTCCGTCAGAACCAGGTGAGCAGAGGGTGGTGACTCTGAGCACCCCTCCTCTGATTTTTCTGATCGCAGCCAATGAGGCTCTACCGAGCAGAGTGGGGAAGGCGGGCACAGACCTAAGAGGCCAGGGACAGTTCCCTGGGAAGAAGCACGGGGCTGGGGGCTGCATTCCAAGGGGCAGGGACACCCCCCAGCAAAGGTTTGGCGGCTGGACCAATCAGTGTGCTCGGGAAAAACTGGCTGTTCCCTTTCAGACTCCCCGAGGCAAAGGAGCTGTGACATGCACAGCGTGCCTAGTGGTCAGAGCGTGGAGGACCATGGGTATGTGCTCCAGGACAGAGCCCCCCAGCTGAGAACCCGCACACCCGGGCTGCCTCCTGCTTCCCATCACCTGCCTTCTCGCACCAGCATGGGGGTGGGGCTCTCCCATCCTCGGCCTGATGCCGACTGTCTCTGCCTCACTGCTCAGGTACAGCCCCGCCTCGCGGGTGGTCCGATTCCTCAAGGGCGCAAACATTGGGCTGCGGCTGGCCGGAGGCAATGACGTGGGCATCTTCGTGTCCGGGGTGCAGGCGGGCAGCCCGGCAGACGGGCAGGGCATCCAGGAGGGAGATGAGATTCTGCAGGTGAGCGGGGGAGGCTGGGGGTAGGCCTGCTGGGTGGTACCCGAGTCTGTAACTGCTTGTGTGTCCACCCCCGGGGACCCCCTGGGGACCGGCAAGACCCCCAGAGACATTCAAACATTTTAAGGGCTTCCCAGCCTGGGGCATGACCTTGATGATTGGGTCATGACCTTGTGCATGTCACATCCTTGTTGTCAATGTCATGACCTCGATGTCCAGCTCACGACCTTTCCCAGGTCACTGCCTCGTTATCAATGTCACAGTCTCCTTGTTTGTGTCACTGAGTTGACCGTGTCCTGACCATGTTGCCTGGGCCACACCCTTGATCCCTGCGTCCATCCACAGTCCCTTTCTGTGCCACCTCCAGTCTCCCGTGTCCGGGTCGTGGCCTTATCCAGGTTGCGCCTTCATTGTGTGTCTTTACCTCCATGATAATCAGTGTCTGTGACCTGCTGTCCGGGTCTGTATATTGTGTCCCTGTCACGACCGCATGTCTGTCTTGACTCTTTCAAGTATCACAAAATTCTCACCAGTGTCCTGGTCCTGTCACAGCTGTGGCCCCTCGTTCCCATGTCTCGATGTTGACAACACGCAGAGCCTCGGTTATGCCTGTACCGATTGCATTCCCTGTATCCTGGTTTCTGGGCCAGACCTTCACGTGTGTGTGTGTGTGTGATGCCCAGGCTGCCACAGGGCAGTGCCCCTTTCAGAAAGCCGTCCCCCAATCTCTGGGGCTCTTGACAGCAGCTCTGGAAGGAGTTGGGTGGAGGGCTTTGTCTGGAGGAAGAGCTGGGATCTTGTGCCCTTGTCCCACCCCTGCACCCACTTCCCGGCAGGTGAATGATACTCCATTCCGGAACCTGACCCGGGAGGAGGCTGTGCAGTTCCTGCTGGAGCTGCCCCCGGGCGAGGAGGTGGAACTGGTGACGCAGAGGAAGCAGGACAGTGAGTGTGTGTGAGTGTATGTGCGTGAGTGTGTGAGAGCGCGTGTGTATGTGAGCGTGGAGCTGGGATCCACGGCCAGGCCCTGGGGAGGGGTCGGGTCTGGGCTGTGGCCCTGCTAGCTCAGGAAGCCTCCCTGTCCACAGTCTTCCGGAAGATGGTGCAGTCCGGCGTGGGCGACTCCTTCTACATCCGCATGCACTTTGAGATGGAGCCCAGCCCGCCGTCTGGCCTGGGCTTCACCCGCGGAGACGTCTTCCACGTGCTGGACACACTGTACCCCGGCCCTGGACAGAGCCACGCCCGCGGAGGCCACTGGCTGGCGGTGCGCATGGGGCGTGACCTCCGGGAAAAAGAGCGGGGCATCATCCCCAGCCAGAGCAGGTGTGGACCGCCCACTGGGACAGGGCACAGCATCACTACTTAGCATCCTTGGTGATTGCCTCTGGGGAGCCATGCAGAAGGCTCAGGGCTGACCAGTCAGCGCTTGTATGAGTTTCCTGCAGGTGCTGTAACAAATTACCACAAACCTAGGGGCTTTGAACAACACACTTTTATCCTCTCATGTTCTAGGGTCAGAAATGAGTCTGATGGGGCTAAATCCAGGCGTGGGCAGGGCTGGTCCTTCCGGAGGCTCCAGGGCAGCATCGGTTCCCGCCTTTTCCAGCTTCTAGAGGCACCGCATCCCTGGCTTGCGTCCCCTTCTGCATCCTCACAGCCAGCAGTGCAGCATCTCTCATCTCTCTCTGCCTCTGACCCTCCCGCCTCCCTCTTATAAGGACCCTGTGATGACACTAGGACCCCCGGGGAATCCAGGGTCATCCCCATCTCAGAGGCCTTAACCCCACCTGCAAAGTCCCCTTTGCCGTGAGAGGTGACATATTCACAGGTGCCGGGATTCGGCCTTGGACATCTTTGGGGCTGTGATCCTGGACCCCGGACCCTGGTGCTCACTCATCTCCTCTCTTCTCTCCAGGGCAGAGCAGCTGGCCAGTCTGGAGGCTGCCCAGAGGGCCGTGGGGGTCGGGCCTGGAGCCTCGGCGGGCTCCAGCACACGGGCCGAGTTCTGGCGGCTGAGGGGTCTTCGTCGGGGAGCCAAGAAGACCACCCATCGGAGTCGTGAGGATCTGTCGGCTCTGACCAGACAGGGTCATTACCCGCCATATGAACGCGTGGTGCTGCGAGAAGGTGGGCCAGGGTGGGAGGGGCCGAGGGGGCCCTCAAATAAGAATGTTCAGAAGCCACAATCCTCACCTCTCTCCTTCCACCCAAAATACCCCCTTTTGGTTACTTTAGGATGAAAATACACACGCACAAAACCAGCACATAGATCCTTTCCCTACCCGAGAACCAGGGGTAAAAATACACCTCATTCAGATTTCAGGAAGGGAAGAGATTAAGCGCTTGCCCACAGCCTCAGGGCAGAAGGATTAAAACCAGGTGCTGAGGCTTTTTAAAGAAAATGGCGGGAGGGTGGAAATAGCAGGTGAGCCAGGACGGGAGAGGGCTGAGCAGCTGCTTTCCAGCTGCTGGTCCATCGTCCAGACGAAAAAGACTCAAACATAAAAGGCTACGTACTTAATTTCTACCCCCAGCCAACGAAAGTTTAGAAATCTGAACATATCAAGTTTTTAAGAGCAAGAGAGAAGGAGAGGAGAAAAAGAGAAGGGTCAGGTGTAAAGAGTGGTCTGCTTACTCGCTCTTCTCTGGCCAAGATGCCTTCTGCACCCACTTCCTCACTGGTAAAAGGGAGTATTGGTGAGGCCAGGGGTCAAACAAGCTCTTCCTGCAAAGGGCGAGACAGTATTTTAGGCTTTACAGGCCAGATGGTTTCTGTCCAAATGACTCAACTCCGCAGGAAGGCAGGAGAGAGGGGACATGCTGGATGTGGCTTTGTGCCAATAAAACTTTATTTACAAAAACAGGCAGTGGATCAGATGTGGCCTGAGGGTTGTAATGGTGGTTGCCAATCACTGAGTTAGCTGGGTTCGGCTGCTCTGACAGACCCCAAACTGTATAAACAAGGAGTTTCCTTTTCAAGTAACAGTCCCAGTATAAGAAGGCCAAGAGGTCTCACACCTCCCCTTGAAGGATACAACCCAGATTTCACACATCATTCTGCTTGCATCCCATTGGTCAGGATGTAGTCACACGGCCATCCTTAGCTTCAAGGGAGGCTGGGAGTTGTAGTCGTTAGCTGGGCAGCTGTGGGCCTGGCTAGATCTACTACGGAGAAAGTGGAGAGGCAGTTGCACAAGAAGCTAGCAGCCTTTGCCCCACATGGGATCCTGATTCTTGTCATTGATTCTCTGCCCTGCAGCCAGTTTCAAGCGCCCGGTGGTGATCCTGGGACCTGTGGCTGACATTGCTATGCAGAAGTTGACTGCTGAGATGCCTGATGAGTTTGAAATTGCAGGTGAGAAACCAGGTCCCATAGCAACCTCATTGGTGAATCATTTCATAACCCTTTCCCAGGTTGAGGCAGCTTGATAAGGGGGCTGCTAATGATGCTATTTGGGGGAAAGAGTAAGAACAACCATGCCAAACATGAGGCAGATCAGCCGCCAGCAGCCCCTCCAAGCCCTGGGCCAGACATCCTCAAACAATCTTGCCACCCTTTACCTGTATAGAGCCTCAGAATCCTTCTTAACACAGTTCACCAAGCAGCCATTGCCAATGGAGCCAATTGGACAATTGCCAGTTGTCTGTTTGTTCAAGAAATTTGTCTATGGAGCTATAGACACAGCATCGAACGAATACACAGGGTCTCCTGAGGAGACCAAAAATGAACAACTGCAGGAACAATTAAGCTAGAGTAGGGAATCAACAAATTACAGCTCCTGGGCCAAATATGGCTGTTTTTATTCAGCCTGCTAATTAAGAATGGTATTCAGAGACTTCCCTGGTGGTGCAGTGGTTAAGAATCCACCTGCCAATGCAGGGGACACGGGTTCGAGCCCTGGTCTGGGAAGTCCCACATGCCACGGAGCAACTAAGCCTGTGCGCCACAACTACTGAGCCTGAGCTCTAGTGCCCGCGAGCCACAGCTACTGAGCCCACGTGCTGCAACTACTGAAGCCCGTGCGCCTAGAGCCTGTGCTCTGCAACAAGAGAAGCCACCACAATGAGAGAAGCACAGGCACCGCAATGGCAGCCAACAATAAATAAATTAAGGAAAAAAAGAATGGCATTGATATATATTTTTATTTTATTTTATTTTTGAAATAGGTGTGGCTCTTTTATTTATTTATTTATTGTTGGCTGCATTGGGTCTTCGTTGCTGCGCGTGGGCTTTTCTCTAGTTGCGGTGAGTGGGGGCTACTCTTTGTTGAGGTGCGTGGGCTTCTCAGTCCAGTGGCTTCTCTTGTTGTGGAGCATGGGCTCTAGGCACACGGGCTTCAGTAGTTGTGGCACATGGGCTCAGTAGTTGCGGCGCGCGGGCTTAGTTGCTCCATGGCCTGTGGGATCTTCCTGGACCAGGGCTCGAACCCGTGTCTCCTGCATTGGCAGGCGGATTCTTAACCACTGCGCCAGCAGGGAAGCCCAAGAATGGTATTGATATATTTTAAATGGTTAAAAAGAAGTTAAAACATTTTTTTTGTGACATGTGAAAAGAACTGAAAGCTGCAACTTGAACAGATACTTGTACATGAAGATTCATCATGATTCACGGCAGCCAAAAGATGGACACAACCCAAGTGTCCATCGACAGGTGATGGATAAATAAAACGTGCTCCATGCACACCGTGGAATATTATTCAGCCTTAAGAAAGGAAGGAAATTCTGACACTCACTACAACATGGATGAACATTGAAGACATGATGCTCAGTGAAATAAGTCAGATACAAAAAGACAAACACTGTCTGATTCCACTCACAGGAGGTCCCTAGAGGGGTCATATCCACAGAGACAGGAAGTAGATGGTGAGGGCCAGGGGCTGGGGGAGGGGGATGGGGAGTCAGTGTTTCATGGGGACAGAGTTTCAGTTTGGGAAGATGAGAAAGTTCTGGAGACAGATGGTGGGGATGGTTGCACCACAGTGTGAATGCACTTAATGCCACTGATCCGTGCGCTTAAAAATGGTTAAGGTGGTACATGTTATGTTACACACATTTTACCACAACAAAGAGAAAAAAGGCAAGTATGCGTCCCCCTCCTTTTAGGCCCCAGCGTGCCTTCTCCCTCAGCTGCCATGCTATCTAGGAGGGCTTCCTAGAGGAAGCAGTACTCCATCTCATGTCCTAGAGGACACATAGGGGATGGGAGAGTAGCTTCTTTCGGGTCACAGCCCAAGCAAAGGCCCAGAGTCGGGACCGAGCCTGGGAAAGTGAGTGTGTGGAGCACAGACCATGCATCCGTCTCCCCATCATGCCAGTCGTTGGCTCAGTGACTCTGAGCTTGTGATCGTATGTCCCTGGCTCAGTTTCCCCATCTGCCAGTAACAGCCACTCCTGTTCAGGAGGAGGAGGTGAGGGTCGTGGTCAGGAGGGGACCCAGTGTGGTGTCAGGAGCGGGGCCAGCAGGAGCTGCTGCTGCTGCTGCTGGCGTTAGGATTTCTCTCAAGGGCCATGGGGAGCCATGGTGGGTTCTTGAGCAGGGGAGGGGCAGGGAGGCATGAATTTGAAGGGCCAGTGGACTGCCCTCCCGAAGCTGCCAGTCGCCTCTCCCCTCCACAGAGAGCATGTCAAGGACCGACAGCCCCTCCAAGATCATCAAACTGGACACCGTGCGGGTGATTGCAGAGAAAGTAAGCAAGGCTCTGCTGTGGGTCCCATTTCACGGATGGGGAAACCAAGGCCCAGGTCTCCAACCTGTTCTGGCCCCACACCCCGCAAGTGTGGTTTTCCCCCTCTTGGAGGCTTTGTGATGTGGGGGACTTGAGGGAGACAGAGCCTGCCCAGAGTCACACAGCAGCAAGTCCTGGGAAGAGGCAGAGACTCAAACTGGGGCTCTGGTGCTCAAGACACTGTGGCCTGGGCTATCACCAAGCCCCACCCCAACATGCTGGCCTGCAGATGTGAGAGGCTGGGGTCCACTCTGACCTCAGACTCTTCATCTCTGTCTCTCTGATTCTTCACCTGTCTCTGATGCTCTGTCTCTGGGTGTTTTTCCCTCCACTGTCTCTCTGTCTCCCTCCCCCACGGCCCCCAACATTGGCCCGGCCCAGGACAAACACGCACTCCTGGACGTGACACCCTCAGCCATTGAGCGCCTTAACTACGTGCAGTACTACCCAATCGTGGTCTTCTGTGTCCCCGAGAGCCGGACAGCCCTCAAGGCACTGCGCCAGTGGCTGGCCCCCGCCTCCCGCCGCAGCTCCCGCCGCCTCTACGCTCAGGCCCAGAAGCTGAGGAAGCACAGTGACCACCTCTTCACAGGTGGGGTGGGAGCTTAGGGTCTGGGGTGGGCGGTGGGTCCTGGCCTGAGTCTCCCAGCCATGCTGATGCCCGTCCCCACCACCCGCAGCCACCATCCCCCTGCAGGGCACAAGCGACTCCTGGTACAAAGAGCTCAAGGCTGTCATCCGCGAGCAGCAGACGCGGCCCATCTGGACGGCCGAGGACCAGGTACCTGTGAGGGTTTGGGAACAGTCGCAGTTAGGGCTGGGTTAGGGGCCAAGGCCAAGGCCCAGATTTGACCTGAGGCTAGGATCTGGACCTGGTTCCTGGGGTGAGATGGGATTGGGGTCTTCTCCTGACGCTGGAGTCAGGGTTGGGGCTCAGCTCAGATTTGGGGTCTCAGTCTGGACCAAGGTCAATGGTCAGAACTCACCTTGGGGTCAAGGGTTAAGGCTCAATTTGAGGTTGAGGACTGGAGTTTGGAAGGTGGTGTCCCGGGTCCGGGGTTTTCTCTTAAGATCAGGGAGGGCCGGGGCTCGGCTCAGCCAGGCCATGTGCACCCGCAGCTGGACAGTTCCTCAGAGGACAACCTGGACCTCCCTTACCGCAGCCTGGCTGACAGCTCCGCGGATCTGAGCTGCGACAGCCGGCTCAACAGCGACTATGAGACAGACGGCGAGGGCGGCGTCTACACGGACGGCGAGGGCTACACGGATGGCGAGGGTGGGCCCCACGTGGACGTGGACGAGGGGCCCCCGGCGCCAGCCCTGGCCCGGTCCTCGGAGCCCGTGCTGGAGGATGAGCCTCGGATCCTGCAAGATCACGGGAGATCCTCGGGTCACCAGGGGACCCAGGTGAGCAGAGCACCAGGCTGGCCCCAGCAAGGGTCTCGGGATGGGGCTGAGACACCTAGGGAGCCTATTTTCTGCCAGGATGTCGAGGAACAGATACTTCCCCGACCAGATCAGTAGCTTGGACCTTGATCTAGGGTACTTGAACCACTGAGTCACTTAAAGCAAATATTTAACCTCTGCATGAGTTTCCTTATCTGAGATACAGGGATTGATGGTAAAGTCTTGACGTCACAAGCTTGTTATTTTGTTGTTGTTGTTGTTGTTTTGATTTTTGGCCACGCAGCTTGTGGGATCTTAGTTTCCTGACCAGGGATCGAACCTGGGCCCCCTGAAGTGGAAGCTCAGAGTCCTAACCACTGGACCGCCAGGGAATTCCCACAAGCTTGTTGTTTAAACAGAATACACTTAGTCCAAGTCCCGGCCCGTGGGAGTCGGGTGTTTAACAAGAACAAATACTGACTTAGCGCTTATTCTCTGTGCGGCTGCCTTAGCCTCCAAGGTGCCTTTCTGTGAATTTGACAAATTCCTCCAGACTCTCTCTAGGGAAATGTAAAAATGTACGAGTCTATGATGTCTCTGGTAGAATGGTGCTCCGTGGGGTTGTGCAGTATCCGACCCGCTCAGCTGTCCATGGCATCCTGATTATGGGGCAGGCTCTCTTCTAAGCACTTGACATATACGAATTCATTTATGAACTCCTGACAACAGCCCTCTGAGGAAAGTCACAGATGGGAAACCCCACTCCCCCTTTGCTGACAGGCTGGGAGATCACAGCCAAGGCCTTCCCCTGTCCCAGGCTGTTTTCTCATTTAAAGTTGGGGATGAGCTCCAGACTTCTGTGGGGGCAAGGAGAAAGCCTGTGGGTAGCACTGTCGGGGGCAAAGGTGGGGAGGTGGGATGGAGTGGTTACTCATCCCAGTTTATCATACTTGGGGGATAAGTGTTAACCTCCTTTCTCTCTCTGCAAGGTGGACGGCCACCACCCACAGGGTCAACGGCGACAGGACAGCATGCGGTAAGAGCCCCGGTACTCCACATTGGGGGACCTCAACCCTCCCCCTGGGACTCAGGGTGTGGGGTGGAGAAGAGACCTAGAACCAAGCTATGCCTTCGTGGTGTTGGGAGCCTACTGAGTGAGACAGAGCCAGACAGAGCTACTCCAAGTCCCATATAGTCAGGGCCATGGGAGTAGGAATCCTCTTCCTGGGAGGATTGGGAGGGCTCCCTGAAAGAGGGGAATTTGGAGCAGGCTTTGAAGGATGTGTAGGAGTTTGTCAAGTCTCGCTCATCTCTGACTGTACCCACTGTGCCTAGCCCAGAGTCAACTCAGATAATGGTAGGTAAGTCCACACCCTCCCCACCCACAGCCTCTGTTCTATTTTCTGATCCCCAGGACATATGAGCGGGATGCTCTGAGGAAAAAGTTTACACGAGCCCGAGATGTGGAGTCCTCTGACGAAGATGGCTATGACTGGGGACCGGCCACTGACCTGTGACCCCTCCCAGGTGGCCAGCTGGCCTGTCCTCCCTTTTTCTCCCTGAAGCTGAGACTCAGCTTCCCACACAGAACCTGGAAACCTGCCTCCCTCTGCCCGGTCTTTAATAAATGGAGTATTTTCACAGCACTGGCTTCTAGTGACTTCCAGGGACAAGGGGCCAGAGTAGGGTGCTGTCTTTCCTCCCTCAACCCCACAGACCCAGATCTGAGACTTTACCCATTCGATAAGCTTTTAATTTTTTACATAAGAAAATAATATAGAACCAAGAAACTTTTGGGGCCCTGGCCAGCCGAGGAGGGTCCGTGGACGGAGTTCCGGGGCCGGCGGGGGCTAAGGCACAGTGGTGGGGGGAAGGTGGCCGGTCACAGGTACACCGGCTGCTCCTGGCCTGTGAGCAGGCGGTAGGTGGCAGCAGGCATCGTCTTGATGTGGACCTGGGGGCGGAGAGGAGGCGGCAGCTGGAGGCGGCCTCCTCCCACTCAGACTCCGCCCCCCCCCCCCCCCCCCCCCCCCCCCCCCCCCCCCCCCCCCCCCCCGCGCAGCGCACCTCAATGTGGGCCTCCGTGAGCAGCTCAATGATGCGGGCGTGGGGCGTGGCCACCACACTCTGCCCGTTGATCTCAATGATGCGGTGCCCCACGCGGACGCCCCCGCGCTCGGCAATGCCACCCCGGAGGAGGCTGCAGATCTGGGGGGACAGGAAGGGCCACGCTGCCCAGGGGGCCACGCCTGGGGCCGCCCACCCCCACCGGGTCCGCGGGCTGGGGACTCACTATGCCGTCCTCCACGCAGAAGCCCAGCTGCTCGCGGACGTGGGGCCGGCGGATGATGGCCGTGGTGACCGGCGGGCAGTGGACGATGCTCAGGGTCACCAGCGTCTGAGACTTCACCTCCTGTACAGGATGGGGGCTGTTGGCCTGGCTGGGCCTCTGGGGGGGGCTGCCAAACTTCCTGCTGGGCTGCAGCCCCTCCTGGGCCTGTTTACCCACTCATAAAATGGAGCCTATAGATTCTACAAGACCCCTTGAGAAGTGGTTAAGAATGCAGGCCAGAGCTGGGTGGCCTTGGAGTCAGAGCTGCGCCACCTCTCACCTCCCTGGGCCTCAGTTTCCTCATGGTAGGGGGTTCTAGCAGTGCCCACAAGGCAGGGTTACAAGCACTCAGTAACACACTGCGTGAACCGCGTCAGACTTGCCCTTCTGGCCTGGCCAGGCCCACCCCATCTCTGGACCTCAGTCTCCCCGTCTGGGCAACGAGGGTCAAGACTCAAGAATACACTTGCTGCCTCATGGCACAGAGGACAGACCTTGTGTTCCAATCCTGCTCCCGCACCAGAGTGGTGTCCCTGGACTTACCCTCTCTGAGCCTCGGTTTCCCAGAGTGCACGGGTGCGGGTAGGACTTGAAGCTCTACTTGCCCCTTCTGGACTGAGACACAGAGACCTGGCCTCGTGCTCACTTTCCCGGCCGCGTGGGGAGGGGGGGACTGCCATCTGGGGGGCCCTCGCAGGCCCTCTGCCCCGGCCACCCCGGAGGACTCACGCGGACGGCAGCCTGGCAGGCGGCCAGGGGCAGCCCCACCAGGCTGGTCCCGTTGATGGCGGTGATGCGGTCTCCAATGCTGAGGGCCCCTGAGCGCTCGGCAGGGCCCCCGTGCAGCAGGTTGGCGATGACGGCCGTGGGCAGCAAGGAACCCCAGCCCGACTCCACCAGGGCTACGCCCAGACCCTCACCCCGGCGTTTCTCGATGCACACCTGGGGGGTCACAGGTGGCGCTTGAGGGCTGCTTGGAGGAGGCAGGAGGAGGTGGGTGGGGGGTGCGGGAGGGCTTCAGGGCCACTTGGTGGGCCGGGGTGGGGGACCCACTTGCTCACCTCCCTGCAGTTCTCGCTATTGGAGAAGTGGTCGAGGTCCCCGTTGTGGAGGTGGCCGGGGCCCGTGGCACCCTGGCTCTGCTGGGAGCCCACCTGGCTGGGGTTGATCCCACTTTCCCGCAGGAACTGGCTGTAGGCCACGGCGAAGGCCTGGCCGATGGCCTGGGCGATGAGCTGGGCCTGTGGGGTGGGCGGCACCTCTCTGGGGGTCCACCCACCTCCTTCAGGTCCCCCCCCAGCCACTGACATCCCTACTACCAGCCCATCCACCCCCAAGTGGGACTGACCTGCCAGCCGCTGGCCGAGCATCTAGGGGGAGGGGAAGGGAGACAGGCCTGGGGCAGGGAGGGTTTGGGGAGACAGCTGCCAGTCTCAGGCTCTTACAGGAAGGCCTGGAATATATGGCTCAGGGCCTTCAGGAGGGTGAGGACGGAAGGACGCTGGGGTGACAGTGCGACCAGGTGGGGCTTTGGTGGAGAGCAGGGGCCACTGTGAGTTCCCCCTCGCCCTCAGGACACCCGGAGCCCGCTGCTCACGTCCTCTGAGTGGAAAACGTGGCAGATCATCTTGTAGAGCCGGCGGCTGTGGGGCTGGGGTGCCGGCCGCCGGGCCAGCCGCCGCCGGGCCATGAGCACCAGGATGCTGCCGATGTCAGCGATGTAGGAGATGGTCTGCAGGGCGTGGTCCATCAGGGCCTCCTGGAGGGGGTGGGGAAACCAGGCTGGGTGGGCCGCGGGGGCCTCGCTCGGCAGTGGAGGCGCCCACGCCCCAGAGGCCAGGCCTGGGCCCCGTACCTGGGAGTCAGCCGTCAGAACCTTGACCCTCTTGGTGGAGACGAAGAGGTCTACCTCTGTCATTGGCTGGGTCTCCCCATCGGGGGCCTGTGGGGGGCGGGGTGGGACGTGGAAGCCCCCAAAGACCCAGACTCTGACCCGCCAGGCTCAGAGGGCCTCGGGGGACCCGGCCTGCAGCCCACCTACCCGCCCACCCACCTGCCGGCCCCTGGCTTCACCTTGACGCGGTCCATGGCCTCCTGCGCCTGCGCCATGCGCGTGCTGGGGGGCGGGTTTCGCTCAGACACCAGCTGGGTGGAGCCCAGGTATTTGGCCCCGAATATGACACCATCTAGGAGGTCTTCGTGGTCACAGGGGCCGGACGCTGAGGGCGACAGCAGAGACGGGTCAGCCCCCTAGAACCTCTGCCAGGCTCGTCCACCCCTGTGGGCTCTGCCCAGAGCCCTGAATGGTCTGGAAGCACAGAGAGTTCTGCCCCGCGGCTTGGCACTTGGAGCCACACACGCCTGCCCACGGCCCCAGAGCCACCCCATCAGCCGGAGCCACAGGTCAGTGGCTCGGCCCTCATGGATGTAGAGCCCTCCGTCAGTCTAGAGCTGGCTCTGCCCACAGCTCAAGGACTCCCGGGCAGAGGACGCGGTTTCAGGAGCAGGCTCTGTATCCAGAACCAGAGCCAGAAGCAGCTCTTGTGCCCACACCCAGCGCCGCCCTGTGTGGCTAGAATTCCAGGAGTCAGGCTAGAACCAGACAGTCCCACTCCTATTTCTAAAACCCTTGACATTATAGAACCATAGTCAACTCTGCTGGATGGTTCTGGAAGCCCCATCAATCTAGAGCCAGTCAGCTCTGCCCACTGCTCTAGGATTCTCTATCGGCCCAGGACCACAGACAACTCTACCCCGTGGTCATAGAACTGCCCAGACAGAGTAGAAAGGGGCAACTGTCCACATACCTCAGACTCTCATACTGTCCAGAAACCCAGGTGGTTCCCGATCTGTGATTCTAGAACTCCCTGACACGTCTCAAACCACAGAATTCTGCCTGGGATTTTAGAAACCAACACTGCTCCAGAATCACACTTTTCCACTACGTGATTCCAGAACGTCTTGATCAATGCAGCATCGGGAAGCTCCTCCTGTGGTTCCAGAACCCCCTCAATAACTCACAACTGCAGATGCACGGGGCAATTCCAAGAATGATCTGAACAGTCCAACTCTGCTCATGGTTCTAGAATCCCCCCAACCCAGCCCAGAACCACAAAAAGCTTCGCCCCCATGGCTCTAGAATTCCCTGAGCAACCTAGAGCCAGACAGCAGTGCCAGTGATTCTAGAATATTCTAATCAATAGCTATTGCTTTTTGAAGAACCACAGGCCACAGGGAATGAAACCACATTCCAGTGAACTTAAAGGATAGCCAGTTCTGCCCACTGTCCTTCATGATCTAAGCATTCCAGAACAACAGATAACTCTGCTCTGGGTTCTAGAACTGCACCATCCAATATGGTAGCCACCAGGCACATGTGGGTATTGTGCACTTGAAATGTGGCTGGTCTGGACTTAGATGTGCTGTAAGTGTAAAATGCACGCCGGATTTAGAGGCTCTCATAAAAAAAATATAAAATTATAAACTGTTGATTGTATGTTGAAATAACATTTTAAATACATGGGCTTAAATTAAATGTTATTAAAGACAATTTTAAGTGTTTGCTTTTTTAATGTGGATAACTAAAAAATTTCAAGTGACATGTGCCTCAAATTCTATTTCTGTTGTATAGCTGTAGAACTTTCTTGAATTGGACAGTTCTGGCCAGTTCTAGTACAGCTCCTAAAGGTCTAGAACCAGAGATAAATTCTATTCACTCCATGGTTCTAGAACTCCCAGTCTAAGTAGAACCTGACAGCTCTGTTCATCATTCCAGAACACCCTCATCAGCTGAGGTCACTTTAATCTAGAACCACAGGCAAAATGCTAGGTCTGGAACTCTCTAGGTGAATCACAGCTCCACCCATGACTCTAGAACCTTCTTGGAACTACAAGTTCAAACCAGCTTCCTTTCCCACAACCACAGAACTTGTTCTTTGACCTAGAGCCTCAGATAGTGTGGGGGAGAATGTTCTAGAACATTCCAGGTGGCCAGAACAGGTACTTCTCATGCCTTGAGAGCAGATTGGCAAACTTTTCTGCAAAGGCCCAAACAGTAAATATTTTTTATTTTGTGGGCCAGATGGTCTCCATTGCAACTACTCAGTCTGGCCATTGTAATATGAAAACTGCCACCGACAACACGCTAATGAACGGGCGTGAGTCTGTCTCGATAAAACTTTATTTGCGGACACTGAAATCTGAATTGCCTATCGTTTTCACCTGTCAAGAAATGTTCTTCTTTCAAGTTTTTTCAACCATTTAAAAATGCATGGGGGCTTCCCTGGTGGCCCAGTGGTTAAGAATCTGCCTGGC